GGCATTTGAGCTCACCGTCTAGGCTTGTCTTAAGTCTTGATCGCGAAAATCTAGTGCAAATGCAAATAAGTCCTAAAGTCTTTGGGCATTAATCTGAGGGATGCGCCCCGCATTTGACCTTCATTCAGAATCGTAGCAGCTGATTGAATGCGTATGTGGCCTATACAATGAATTGCAGTGGCCAGCCGATGTACAAGTCGGGGTTTATCTTCTCAGACGTGTCTAGAACTGATTAACCGACACCGAAAGGAAGGAGGCTCGGTTGGCTTAGGAGTGGCTCGAGCAGGAATTCAGACCTCAATCATGCGTGTGTGATAGTGTACCCCTTCCCACCTTCGTTCGCTGTGGGAGTTGGTCAGCCGACGGCAACAACTAGAATGTAGATTGGGATTCATCCCCAACACTCGTAAATTCTGAAAGAAAGTCGCATTTCCTTGGAATGGAGCCGCACAAAGCCGGTTTCTACTCTCATTTTTGGGTCTTTCTACTGATAGAGTTGCAAAATTGGTCCCCAAGTTGGCCTGACTTTTACACGGTACTGCATATTGTTAACATCATTAGAACACCCAACAAAAAACAGGACATCAACAGAGTTAGTGAAACTCACTTCTGACGACGTTCAACTCAGCTGCGCTGACTGATGTTCCATGTGGATTACGGGCGATAGCGGTCAATTTGACACCACTCATTTCACCCATGTTCTCTATTGAAAGTCGGCTTTCTCGAAGACCCGTTTCGATGAACACCTGTTCCCCAGATGTGATTTGCATGTCGTTGGCATACCATTCAAAGGTACAACTGTCACTTTCATCGCTCACTTTCACATGACATCGTAAAGTGTCACCCTCCATAAGCTCAATGTTGTCAAGTTTTTGTGTAAACATTGGAGCCTTATTCGCCGCGGGAGACGGCTGTTTCTCGACCACCTCCTTCTTGGTCTCTGTAACTTCCTCCTTTACAGTGGTTGTGGTAACTCTAGGTGGTATCGCTTCCACCATCGTCGTTGTCTTTGAGATCTCCTTGATGATTGTTTCGGAACGTGCCGTACCGTTCCTGTCCATAACCTCTACTATTAAAACGGCATTATTCCCTAACGACTTCTGTACACGCAATGTAGATCGGTTCCCATCTACGACTATTTCAATGTCTTTACTGGAACTGATCTCTGAACCATTGATGATCCACTTAAAACTGAAAGGAGGTGTACCGGAGACAACCACTTCTATTTTAGTTTCCTCCCCAAGAAGAACAACTGTCTCCTTAGATAAAGATTGGATAAAGATTGGTGGTGGCTTCGGTGAAGTGACAGGCTCTTCCTGCTCATACTGAACAATCACCTTGCAGGAACTCGAGTCCTGTCCAAGGCGATTGCTTGCCACCACATCATATCTTCCCGGCTGCAC